CTCCGTCTTCACCATGTAAAAACTTTGCCTGCTCAACAGGAAGCTTATATGCATATGCAATTTCCTGAAGCTGCTTTGAGTTTTTAATCTTTTTCAGTGGTAAGAATTTGCCTCATTCTTTCTTAACTTACTGACCTACCAGCTACAAAGTTTGATGTAAGCATTTTTTTTTTGTAGGAAATCAATATATCTGGCACCCTTGATGTTTCTAAAGTATACTTGTGTGGTTCATCGATAAATCATCTCTCTCGTGGTAAGTTGTATCAGTTGTTACAAATACATTGTTACCCAAACAGTGAGATGTTTTAGAACACGAAATAATATTTTCCTCTTGAATTTTTTTCTTCTCCATTACAAATTATGTGAATAACATGGTTGGCATATTCATAATTCTTGATTCAGGTGCTCTGGTTGCCCTCTCCTTATAGCGCATCCCTTTGATACTGGAGACCATGAAAGGTATATAAATTTTTTGCTGCAACCCTTTTGGGTTCACACCTGCTCTTCAAATTTTGTTGTATATGTGATTGCTAGGGATAATATATACAGGTTCTTGATTGTTAACCAAGTTATCAATAACATGTCCTGACAAGGGAATGCCTTTTTATTTCTTGTTTAGATTGGCAGCAAGCGTCATTATGGAGTTTCTGTTTTTGGGGCTGAGGTTTTCAAGATCTTAAAGCTGCCTGTCCCGCAAAACCTGCCAGTTAACTGCCGGAGGACATACGTCCTACAAAGATGTTGGCTCTTCATCCAACTTGCTTGATGCTCATCTCTTGGAGTTGGTTGAAAACATGGTTTTCTGCCAGAGAACTTAGCAAGGTTCGATATAAAAGGCATGATCTTGGCAATTGTGTTTTCTCCGTTTGTTAGAAAAGTGTTTTCTGGATTTCAATTTTCTCATTCTAGTTACGTCTATGGTTTACTACTATGCGAGTTTGTGGAGTTGGAGGCTTGTCTTGTTATTTATGCTACGTTAACTTTATAGCCTGTCATGTTTTGCTCTCTTAACCATCTCGATTTCTTTGATGCCGTTTTACCTAAAATTGCGACGAGTTTGAGTTTGACGACTGTATGTATTATTGGGCTGGGGAAGGTATCATTTGTAAAACTGAAAGATGAAACGAGAGGTCCTAAAACTAGACACTAATGGGTTTTCCCCAATTCCAATTGCGTTTGATGCAGATGATTGTAAGGGTTCAGGTTAAACTTTTCAGAAAGGTAGGAGTTTAAGAAAATTGGTGGTAGAGAAATAAAATGGAAAACTACATAGCTACATTTGGATTCAATAGATGTTATGAGGGGAAAGCTTGTTTCAATGCAAGGTAAATGATGACATCATCTAATCATGACAAAACACTTTCAAGAAGATCGAAGTCATATATTAGATTCTTTCTTGGACCATCTTGAATCATCATACAGCTTTTAATAGAGCAGAATAATTTGAGGTCGTGAATCATTTTTTCCATTATCCATCTTGCTTTCGCATTTTCATCATCATAATATCTTTTAATGTTTTGGTCCAGCCTAGTTTTAGGAGATTGTTTTCAGTAAAGAATATTTCTAACCGTAACAAAGTTAAAAGTGAATAAATGGAAATAGGCGAGGAATGAAAATTAAAGATGTTTAGTTGAAGAAAATAGAAAAGAAATGAAGAAANGAAAACTACATAGCTACATTTGGATTCAATAGATGTTATGAGGGGAAAGCTTGTTTCAATGCAAGGTAAATGATGACATCATCTAATCATGACAAAACACTTTCAAGAAGATCGAAGTCATATATTAGATTCTTTCTTGGACCATCTTGAATCATCATACAGCTTTTAATAGAGCAGAATAATTTGAGGTCGTGAATCATTTTTTCCATTATCCATCTTGCTTTCGCATTTTCATCATCATAATATCTTTTAATGTTTTGGTCCAGCCTAGTTTTAGGAGATTGTTTTCAGTAAAGAATATTTCTAACCGTAACAAAGTTAAAAGTGAATAAATGGAAATAGGCGAGGAATGAAAATTAAAGATGTTTAGTTGAAGAAAATAGAAAAGAAATGAAGAAAGGCAGAGAAGTAAATAAGTGAATGGTAAAGCATATTGGTGTTTACTCATCTTTTAATATTCATCTGTTTTAATTGTTATACTGAACAATGGAAGGCAATGATCAAGCAAAGGGGTGTTTAATAATTGGATACGGTATCAATCAAAATCTTGTTGCACAGGTGTTGGGGGCACTGAAAAGATAAGACATTGGAGTGAAAGTGAGGATGAAAATCTCCTTAGAAAACGAGGAAAATAAATGAAGTGTATGGACCCAACTAACATAACCTTTCTTGCTTGATACCTACTTGGCGTACACATCAGACAAAAAGTGATGACTATGAAGAGGTCCAGGTGGGGCCCCTCTGCTCCCATTGTGTAAGGACCCTGCCTTATTAAATTTTGCAGGATTTTAGAAGCATGTGGCCTGCACATGCACAACCACAAACCCTTTCTTGCTTCAATCTCTCCACTCTACTGACAGGTGACATTCACTTTGACAGTCACTTCACAGCCCATACTGAAAGCTACCCAACACTGTTTACTGATCATGCATGTTATCCCTTTCCCAACTCCCAACTTGCAAAACAGTAATAATGCAGATGGATTCCCCCTTCATTGGGCTTTCCTTAGGTATCTCAGTTTTTGACAAAACTCATGGACCCAACTTTTGTTTTTAAGCATCTTTTTTCACAAAATTAACAACGGATTATAATTTCTTCAGCCATAATTACATCTGATAACTTTCCATTTATATAATTCTTGGGGTTTAGAAGTTCGCATTTAACAAGCGTTCAACTTTTATGTAATTTTAAACAGAGAAAATTCATGCAAATTTTCTGGTTGAATGTTGTATTTCTCATCTGGGAACCTAATCTGTCCAAGTACGGAAACATGCATAATCACTGAGATAATATCAGAATTAACTGACTTTGTTAAATTTGTATTTTACAAAACATTATTGCATAAAGGAGATGTCCACAACTTTAAAATCAGAAACCAGTTCTTTCATCAAGCGTTCAAATTTTCTAGAAAGATTCGAGTCATTTCTTCTATGTTCCCTTTGGTTTAAACCACCCTGGAAGCTTGTTTGTGATTTTTTCAGATTATGCTTATCTTTGATAATGATCTAACATATCTGATTGCTGCTAAAGGAGAAGTTTCCTGAATTGGGTATCGTGAGTTTGTGTCTCATCAAACAAAAATTAATGAATTTGTGAGATGGTATGACATTCTTTTGAATAAATGCCACAAAATAATGGATGTTGGCTTTTTTTTAAGTGCAAAACAATTTAAAGGGGAACCCACATATGTCAACCTTTCTCTATCCAATTGCCAGAAATTGATAACCATATTACAACCAAGATTATTGTTTTGGAAAATCATGATGGACCGACCCAAATTATATGGGATTGTACAATAAGTTCGAAATATCTACCAAAGAATGTGCTTCATCTTCAAGTGAGTGCATTCATAATAAAGTAAATAATTATTTTCGGTATTTTTGTGTAATAAGTATTTTTTAAAAAATTGACTTATTATGGGTTAACTGTGAAAAAACATTATAATGTGTTGAATATAAGGAGAATATAGAATGGAAAGTTATCAGATGTAATTATGGCTGAAGAAATTATAATCCGTTGTTAATTTTGTGAAAAAAGATGCTTAAAAACAAAAGTTGGGTCCATGAGTTTTGTCAAAAACTGAGATACCTACGGAAAGCCCAATGAAGGGGGAATCCGTCTGCATTATTACTGTTTTGCAAGTTGGGAGTTGGGAAAGGGATAACATGCATGATCAGTAAACAGTGTTGGGTAGCTTTCAGTATGGGCTGTGAAGTGACTGTCAAAGTGAATGTCACCTGTCAGTAGAGTGGAGAGATTGAAGCAAGAAAGGGTTTGTGGTTGTGCATGTGCAGGCCACATGCTTCTAAAATCCTGCAAAATTTAATAAGGCAGGGTCCTTACACAATGGGAGCAGAGGGGCCCCACCTGGACCTCTTCATAGTCATCACTTTTGTCTGATGTGTACGCCAAGTAGGTATCAAGCAAGAAAGGTTTTGTTAGTTGGGTCCATACACTTCATTTATTTTCCTCGTTTTCTAAGGAGATTTTCATCCTCACTTTCACTCCAATGTCTTATCTTTCAGTGCCCCCAACACCTGTGCAACAAGATTTTGATTGATACCGTATCCAATTATTAAACACCCCTTTGCTTGATCATTGCCTTCCATTGTTCAGTATAACAATTAAAACAGATGAATATTAAAAGATGAGTAAACACCAATATGCTTTACCATTCACTTATTTACTTCTCTGCCTTTCTTCATTTCTTTTCTATTTTCTTCAACTAAACATCTTTAATTTTATTCCTCGCCTATTCCATTTACACTTTTAACTTTGTTACGGTTAGAAATATCTTTACTGAAAACAATCTCCTTAAAACTAGGCTGGACCAAAACATTAAAAGATATTATGATGATGAAAATGCGAAAGCAAGATGGATAATGGAAAAAATGATTCACGACCTCAAATTATTCTGCTCTATTAAAAGCTGTATGATGATTCAAGATGGTCCAAGAAAGAATCTAATATATGACTTCGATCTTCTTGAAAGTGTTTTGTCATGATTAGATGATGTCATCATTTACCTTGCATTGAAACAAGCTTTCCCCTCATAACATCTATTGAATCCAAATGTAGCTATGTAGTTTTCCATTTTATTTCTCTACCACCAATTTTCTTAAACTCCTACCTTTCTGAAAAGTTTATCCTGAACCCTTACAATCATCTGCATCAAACGCAATTGGAATTGGGGAAAACCCATTAGTGTCTAGTTTTAGGACCTCTCGTTTCATCTTTCAGTTTTACAAATGATACCTTCCCCAGCCCAATAATACATACAGTCGTCAAACTCAAACTCGTCGCAATTTTAGGTAAAACGGCATCAAAGAAATCGAGATGGTTAAGAGAGCAAAACATGACAGGCTATAAAGTTAACGTAGCATAAATAACAAGACAAGCCTCCAACTCCACAAACTCGCATAGTAGTAAACCATAGACGTAACTAGAATGAGAAAATTGAAATCCAGAAAACACTTTTCTAACAAACGGAGAAAACACAATTGCCAAGATCATGCCTTTTATATCGAACCTTGCTAAGTTCTCTGGCAGAAAACCATGTTTTCAACCAACTCCAAGAGATGAGCATCAAGCAAGTTGGATGAAGAGCCAACATCTTTGTAGGACGTATGTCCTCCGGCAGTTAACTGGCAGGTTTTGCGGGACAGGCAGCTTTAAGATCTTGAAAACCTCAGCCCCAAAAACAGAAACTCCATAATGACGCTTGCTGCCAATCTAAACAAGAAATAAAAAGGCATTCCCTTGTCAGGACATGTTATTGATAACTTGGTTAACAATCAAGAACCTGTATATATTATCCCTAGCAATCACATATACAACAAAATTTGAAGAGCAGGTGTGAACCCAAAAGGGTTGCAGCAAAAAATTTATATACCTTTCATGGTCTCCAGTATCAAAGGGATGCGCTATAAGGAGAGGGCAACCAGAGCACCTGACTCAAGATTATGAATATGCCAACCATGTTATTCACATAATTTGTAATGGAGAGAAGAAAAAAATTCAAGAGGAAAATATTATTTCGTGTTCTAAAACATCTCACTGTTTGGGTAACAATGTATTTGTAACAACTGATACAACTTACCACGAGAGAGATGATTTATCGATGAACCACACAAGTATACTTTAGAAACATCAAGGGTGCCAGATATATTGATTTCCTACAAAAAAAAAATGCTTACATCAAACTTTGTAGCTGGTAGGTCAGTAAGTTAAGAAAGAATGAGGCAAATTCTTACCACTGAAAAAGATTAAAAACTCAAAGCAGCTTCAGGAAATTGCATATGCATATAAGCTTCCTGTTGAGCAGGCAAAGTTTTTACATGGTGAAGACGGAGAAAACAGAATATATCAAGCCAGGAACTTCACAAGAGGAGTAATAAAAAACATATTATGCAATAATTTATATAATGGAACTACAACTGAACTAACAGGGCAATACTTCCACCATTATCGGATCCTGCTGTCTTGGTAAGGGGTAGATGAAAGCAACCTTAGGCCCATGAAAATAATGTTGGAAACTAATGCACAACAGCCCATAGCAGGTTTGAAATTTTAAATATGATATACAGTCCAAAATAAAAAAATTTACATTGATGATACTAAAAGATGCAAATGACAATTTAACAAAGGCTTTATACTGACATAATTCAACCCCTCTGCGATTCAAATCGTGAGATATATCATTTTTACTCCCGAATCGTACGATACAATTGGAAATCACACGATTCATGATACAAATTTACCCTCCAATTTGAAACCCTATATTTCCCCTACAGATGTTTCTGGGCAAGGAGGGTGTTTTTCATTTGTGGTTACCCATTTGTTGAACTTCAAACATGATGATAGCATACCCTTTATCCATGGCCAAGCACATTCAAGAAGTGTTGAAGTCAACCTGGTAATGAAATTACTCTCATTACTATTTTTATATGATTTATAATTTTTAATTACATTATATTATAATTCAACACTTCTTTGTTTTGATAGCTCTTTGGTGGGAGAGTAATGGAGAAGGTAAAGAGTTACAAAAGATAGCCATGAAAATTTTGAGCCTCACATGTAGAGCAAGAGGGTGTGAAAGGTGTTAAATATATTGTGTTTTATGTTAATTAGGAAAACATAGACTTTTGTTATTGTTTGATATTGGTAGATATTGTTGATATTGTTTTAAACAATATCCTCTATTTACCATATTTATGTTTGGTTGCCATATATACTTGTATCATTTTTCATTATAAATATATTACCTTATGTGTATTTTAAATACAAGGGAGATTAATCTTATACCTAGTTTTACTATATTCGATAAAAGGAATAGGAGCACATTTGACCAAGTCCATACTAAGAGAAGAAATAGATCGGAACAATGAAGATTAGAGTTGAGACAAAAGAGTAGAGAAGAGAAGGGGAAAACTTATGATCTCGTATGTTTGTCCGATATTGAATCGGATGATGAATGGATTACTGAAAAAGAAAATCCTTGCTTGCCTATTGATTCTTCATGGATGGATGTACATGAGTGTTTTTGATGTTTAAGAGGTGATTATTATTTACAATTTGTGGAAGTTAAAATTTGAATGTTCAACAAACTAGAACTAAACTTTATTTCTTTTTGTTTTGCTAATATAGGTCCTAGAAACTTAAATGCCAAGACCAATAAAAAAGGAAAATCCATAGTAGGAGATGAGGAAGACTTTGAAGACATTAATGAAGGGGAAAAACTTTCAATAGATGATGAAGATGACTTGATTGATGTAGATCTTGGAGATGATGATGATGATGATGAAATATGAATAATTTAGAATAGAATGTTTGTTTTTGAGGTTGTTTAGGATACAAGCAACAACCGTAAATATGTTTGTATCTAGTAATTATACAAATTGCAGTGATAGGTTGAAGGGGAAGGTTTATACTAGAAGGAATAGAAACTGACAGATATTTATAACTTTCTGAGGGGTAGTTTTGTTGTCTCAGACTTTTCTAAAGTCTGCATGGGCAGTTGTTTAGCAGTTTTTATCTTTGTATTGGAAATTCTGTAAATATAGGGAAGTGGAGAGTCTGGTTCTTTCCAATAACCAGAAGTTGTCTGTGTGTTCCAGTTTCTCCATTTGGAGGAAACCTAGCGTATTGTTGGAATAAAGATCTACAGTTCTCAAGGTTGTTTTGCATAAGGGGTTTCCTGCTTTGCTTTTCACCTTGAGGACAAAGTGAAACTTCATGGAGGGGTATTGATAGGTTCAAGGGGAAGGTTTATACCAGAAGGAATAAAAACTGACAGACAATTATAACTGTCTGAGGGATAGTTTTGCTGTCTCAGACTTTTATAAAGTCTGCATGGGCAGTTGTTTAGCAGTTTTTATCTTTGTTTTGGAAGTTCTGTAAATCTAGGGAAGTGGAGAGTCTGGTTCTCTCGAATAACTAGAAGTTGTATGTGTGATTCAGTTTCTCCATTTGGAGGAAACCTAGTGTATTGTTGGAATAAAGATATACGGTTCTCAAAGGTTGTTTCACATAGGTCTGAATACCTGTAACAGTAGCAGCAGCAACAACCCTTATTTTTGGGATGGCTATAATGCAGAATTTGTTTAGTAGCATATAGCCATATTAAAAGAATATTATGCAGTAACCACACTGTTTTTGGAAGGATGTGTAGCTGAAATTGTGAAACTATGTGGTATATATACATACATACAACTGTTAGGATATTTATCCTATTTTATCATCATTATAGTGTGTCAAGGGTTTATCCTATTTATCTGATTATATTGTGTCTAGGATTACCCTATTTATCATGTACTTGTGTATCAATTTATTTTTATAAATAGAAGATTGTGAAAGGGATCAATTAAGCCTTCTAGAATTATTTTACAGTTTTATTGTGATTATGCAGTAACCACACTGTTTTTGGAAGGATGTGTTGCTGAAATTGTGAAACTATATACATACAACCACTCTATTTGAGGTTGTTTTGTTATTAATTGTCTCTTTGCATATTTATATATCTTATATATTTAAACATTGTTACATTTTTTTAATGTTTATGAATAGTACAATTCACGATTCAAAATTTAAACTCTCCGATAGACAATAGATTCACAATTCAACTACCATGGTGACATGCCAAAAGTACTTACTGTTAGCAATAAGCTGATGCAAAGTTTAAAATGATTTTGATAATGAAGTGCACAAAGACTTGAAGCAAAAATTATTATATGCTTGGATGAATGTCTATTAAAGCTTTTGTTTTATTTAAGGTTGTAATAGTTAAGTCATTAGAGTAGTGAACTCAAAATGCTCTATTTTCAGAACACTCACTGGAATAATTGATTATCACTTGAGATAATCAATTATCCCAGGAAACATAAGAAACATTTTAATTCGTAGATAATCAATTATCACAAGTGATAATTCATTATCCTCAAAAAACATGATTTGCTAAGGTTCGCAAATAGTCAATTATCACTTGGGATAATAGATTATCCCAGGGAGAAACACTTTTATAATTTTCTAGAATAATCAATTATCATTTGGGATAATCGATTATCTCATACAATTAGAAGCTAACTCTTAAGCTTCTGACCCTTTTCAAACCTTGGCCTATAAATACCTTGTATCTGAGCTCTTTTAAAACTTGAATTGTTTGAGGTGCATTGTCTGAAATAATCTCTGTGTTTAAATGAGCTTGAGTACTTGGTGCTTGAAGAAGGAAGTGTTTTTTCTTAGTGTGTCTAAGTGGTGAAGCATATCTGCAAAGCAAAGTCAAGTTGTGTTCATCTTTTTGTTGGTCAAAAGGAAGTGTTGTTCATCTCTTATCTGTTAAGAGAAGTATTTTCTGAACTTACACTTTACTCCATTATTGTAACTTGCTTGTTTATTTTAGTTGATAAGTTAATCCCTCTTTTTAGAGATTAATAACTGGACGTAGGATATTTTTAATCTAAACCAGTATAAAAATTATTTGTGCAAGCTTCTCTTCCTTATCCACCTTTGTTTAATTTCTATTATTAAAAGTAATTTTTCTGACTTGTTAAACAAATTTTTAAAAAGTGAAAACTTGTTAAAAAGGAGCAATTTTAACGGAAAACCAATTGACCTCCCTCTTGGTTGTTATCATTCTTTTAAACATTCCACTGTGCGTTTTCAACACTTATTTTTCTTTGCTTTATCTTTATTATTATGGTTTGTCAAAAGAAGGAGGCAGAAGAAGTAAAAATGTCCTTGGCATAGAATTTAACAAATAGTCAAAGGTAAAAACAAAATTAAATATATTTTACCTTGTCCAAGAATCAGAACGGAATTTGCAGATAGAGAAATGATGTCTTGGATCTTCTCACTAGAGAAAAGAACTCGTACAACTGAATTAGAAAGCAAAAGTTACTTAGACTATGCATGACAAGTGAAGAGAAGGAAACTCAGAAGGCGGTGTTCTATAATCCTTATATAAAATTATAGTCAATGAATTCGTTACAAAAGCTCAAATATTAATACAAAATAAAATGATATTATTACCAAATTTCACTAAGCTTTACTTATACAACAATCCCACCATCATTCTCTTTTTCTTAATCCTTGCACAGCTACTATCTGAAATCTAGGATTGAGCTAGTCTCCTCTTTCAGATCTATTGTCACCTCAACAAGCAGTTACCATAAATTCTCCATTCAGCTTTTTTCATGGGCATGCAGCTTCAATTCCTTCCACCCTCACATTCATTTTCTTTGCGTGGAATCCAGGAGTTAGGTCCAGTCTCCATTCCTTTTATCAGCTACATTCTTTTAGATGTATTAGTATATTATCTTATTTTATCATGATTATATTGTGTCAAGGGTTACCCTATTTATCATGATTATATTGTGTCTAAGGTTACCTATTTATCATGATTATATTGTTTCTAGGGTTACCCTATTTATCATGTACTCTTGTATCAATTTATTCTTATAAATAGAAGATTATGAGAGGGATCAATTAAGCCCTCTAGAATTATTTTACAATTTAATTCTAAAGTTGGCATTAGAGCGGGCGATCCCATCTGAAAGACTGGTTGGAAAATTGATTTATCTTACTATTACAAGGCCAGATTTATCCTTTGTAGTCGGAGTGGTTAGTCAGTTCATGTAGCTCCATGTGTTGACCATTGGAATGCTCTCATTTGCATTCTAAGGTATGTCAAAAAGGCGCCTGGGCAAAGATTGTTATATGAAGATAAAGGAAGTATTCAGGTCTCTGGGTATTGTGATGCAGATTGGGCAGGTTCGCCTATTGATAGACGGTCTACTACATGATATTGTGTTTTTCTGGGAGGAAACATTATTTCATGGAAAAGTAAGAAACAAAATGTAGTAGCTCGATCAACCGCTAAAGCCAAGTATAGGACAATGGCATCACTAACATATGAACTTATATGGGTGAAACAATTCCTTCAAGAGCTTAAATTCTATGACATCCATAATATGAAGATGTATTGCGACAATCAAGTTGCTCTCTACATTGCATCAAATCCAGTGTTTCACAAGAGGACTAAACATATAGAAATTGATTGTCATTTTGTTCGTGAAAAATTGTTGACTAAAGAAATATGTACTGAGTTTATTGGGTCAAACGATCAACTCGCAGATGTATGACGAAGTCATTAAGGGGCCTTCGAATGAGTTTAATTTGTTCCAAGCTTGGTACATACAATTTGTATGCTCCAACTTGAGGGGAGGTGTTAGGATAATTTATCCTATTTTATATCATTATATTGTGTCAAGGATTACCCTATTTATCATGATATATTGTGTCTAGGTTACCCTATTTATCATGTGTTATTGGTCTAGGGTTACCCTATTTATCATGTATTCTTGTATCAATTTATTCTGATAAATAGAAGATTATGAGAGAGATCAATTAAGCCCTCTAGATACGTGATTAAGTATATTCCTAAATATTTTAGTTCAATTGGTGTTGGCTACTCGTAGTAGAAGATAATTACAGCAATTTACAGATTTCTGAAACAATAACTAATTAAATCAACAAAGGAAATGAAAGTTTGTGAACCTGGGAGACGTAAAAGCTTTTCATTGGAATCATTTCCGTCCGTTTCATTTAAAGCATTTTCTATGTCCATTGCAGTGAACATGTGCACAGAATGGCATCCATCTGATATCCAGATAGTCTGAGACACTGCAAAATAAAGAGTAGTTTTAGTTGCAGTGAGAACAAAATACAATATATTTGATGCATTATATCTAATAACTATTTGAAGAACCATACCATAATTTTAAACATCCTACTGTAAAGTGCTATTGACATTCTGAAGCAACTCAGTGAGTCTATTATAAATTTAAAATGCTTCACTCTTTTCACATTGTTATCTGAACCAAAGGTCATGCACACAGTATGTAGACTAGCAACCAGGGCAACCTTTCCAGTCTCACATAGCTGATCCTTAAAACTCTTCTTGTTTATCCAGAGAAATCCAATGGTAGACATATCTCGAAAACATGAATACAAAATGAAACTACTAAGCATTGACTAACACGAGAAAGGCATAGCAATGATTAACTCATCCTATACCCATTGTATTCCAACAAAAACTACAAAACATCTTATAAGAACAAGTGGATTTGAGTGAACAATAGCAAATTTATACTTAATTATACTACAATGTGATGGTATGTTTATGAAACCTAAAGGACTAACCGTTTTATACTTTTATCATATTCAGTGTTATCTATATCGGAAAAAGGAAAATACCGGAGACCTAAAAATGAAGATATATCGGAAGCCATAACTGGTTATTGCAGACCACTGCAGAAAAATATGTGTGTATGTATATATAATATAGAAAATGCAAAATATAGATATTGAAATTTTCAAGTTCAAAATTTAAAATATAACAAAACATAATGTAGGAGCTGCTGGTTTAATGTGGCTAGGGTGGAGATGCAGTGGCGTCAATGGAAGTGGCGGCTGCACTAGCAACAGAAGCAGTGGTGGCAGTGACAGCAGCAGTGGCAGCGTCAGCAGAAGTGGCAGCAATGGTGTGATCAGCAGTGGCAGCTGCAGCAGTGGGACTGCACAACAGTGAAGGACAGGATGTGGGTTCAAGGTGGGTAGGGTCTCCTAAATCAATATTCTATTGTAATGTTAGGTTTGGGCAGCACTTGTTTGGACCAATTCCTTTTTTAAAAGAAAACAATTGGGCTGACTCCTGGTGGAAAAAAAAAAAGAAAGAAAACGGATAATTAGGGTTTTCACTTCTCAGGTCCGGTCCACAGCCTTTTGTCTTTCAGTTTCCCACCATAGTCTCTATTATTCCCTTGTTTGTCACAAATGATGTTGCTGCTACTCCATCGTGCCACTCCGCAACTTCCACCATGTCCATTCTGCAACACCACTACATGACACCCAAAGCAGCCGCAATGGGCCACCATGAAAAACCCACATCGCCACCCCATGATGTTGGGGCAAGGCATAACTCCGCCACTGATTTTCACTGTGGCACCGCCATAGTAGATTTTTTATAATCACAATTAAATAAGAATATTCAGTACAGGTACCAGTCACAAAAGATAATGGGAAATATAAAGTAATTCTAAAGGGGAAAAAATGTAAGATATAATAAGATACTTTCATATATTCTAATAATGAAGACACGTCAAAATTTATTACTATTTTATTTCACGAATTTTCAAGTAATTAGTCTCTCAAGTTTATTTCATTAAATTTATTTATAGTCTATTGGGTTAGAAAGCACAAATACATTTCAAATGATTCCAAAGAATATTTGTTCACTTAATAACCCTGATAAAGGTATTAGCACAATAAGGCTTATTATTGTTTTAGGCTTAAATGATTACTTTGTCCTCGTGTTAAGATGTGAATTTTTGTTTAGTATCCGGTTTTAAAAATGAAGACATTGAGTCCCTATGTTATGAAAAGTGTATGAATAAAGTCTTGTCCGTTAAGTTGACAGCAACGACATTAAGTCCATGCTGATGTGACCGTACTTTTTCTCTTCTCTCTTCTGTTATTCAACTTTTTCTCTCTCTTGTTTAGCTTTTTCTTTGATGATTTGTTGAACTTGTTCTTTCTTTGTGAACCTTATTCGTATACTTTTCATAACATAGGGACCTAATGTCTTCATTTTTAAAATCGGGTACTAAACAAAAATTCACCTGTTATAGGGGACGAAAAGTACGCATTTAAACCTAGTGTTGTTATTTGATTATCCTTCAAGGCTACAAACACAATAAGAAAAAAAACAAATAAATCCAACTCTAAACAATTTTAGTGTAATACATTTTACAATCAGTTCTGTACTATTTGGAATCCAAGTGAGTCTAAGTCTCCACATTGACTAGAAATGAGAAAGTAGTAGCCACCGTATAAAGATTTGGATTGAGAATGATGTTCAAAATCTCTTATATGATTAAGCTCAGATCTATTGGTTTGTGAATATCTCCCCAGGAAAAACCGTCCCNTGATAACTTTCCATTTATATAATTGTTGGGGTTTAGAAGTTCGCATTTAACAAGCGTTCAACTTTTATGTAATTTTAAACAGAGAAAATTCATGCAAATTTTCTGGTTGAATGTTGTATTTCTCATCTGGGAACCTAATCTGTCCAAGTACGGAAACATGCATAATCACTGAGATAATATCAGAATTAACTGACTTTGTTAAATTTGTATTTTACAAAACATTATTGCATAAAGGAGATGTCCACAACTTTAAAATCAGAAACCAGTTCTTTCATCAAGCGTTCAAATTTTCTAGAAAGATTCGAGTCATTTCTTCTATGTTCCCTTTGGTTTAAACCACCCTGGAAGCTTGTTTGTGATTTTTTCAGATTATGCTTATCGTTGATAATGATCTAACATATCTGATTGCTGCTAAAGGAGAAGTTTCCTGAATTGGGTATCGTGAGTTTGTGTCTCATCAAACAAAAATTAATGAATTTGTGAGATGGTATGACATTCTTTTGAATAAATGCCACAAAATAATGGATGTTGGCTTTTTTTTAAGTGCAAAACAATTTAAAGGGGAACCCACATATGTCAACCTTTCTCTATCCAATTGCCAGAAATTGATAACCATATTACAACCAAGATTATTGTTTTGGAAAATCATGATGGACCGACCCAAATTATATGGGATTGTACAATAAGTTCGAAATATCTACCAAAGAATGTGCTTCATCTTCAAGTGAGTGCATTCATAATAAAGTAAATAATTATTTTCGGTATTTTTGTGTAATAAGTATTTTTTAAAAAATTGACTTATTATGGGTTAACTGTGAAAAAACATTATAATGTGTTGAATATAAGGAAAACTAGGTATGAGATTAATATCTCGTGTTAAATATATATGTATAGAATATCTATTTAATAGAAGAAATATGGGTTAAGCCCAAAATACAAATAAGAAATAATAACAAATTAACTAAAAGAAAGAAAATAAAGATAATATAAAAATAATATATATAATATTCCTCCTCAAGTTGATGCATATAAATCGTACGTACTAAACTTGTTATTAATATAATCAATAAATATTTAGTCTATTCCTACATTTGAGTGACATTAAATTGTTAATGATTTGTGAAGATGATACAAAAGATGAAATACTAATCTAGAAGACTCCCCTGAGCAACAAATCTTTTTTTGCATATTGACATTAGGAATACATGGTTGACATCCAGTAGATAAATAGATCATTGTTGAAGATTAACATCGAGTGCATAAAAATGTCATTGTTGAAAAGTTATCACGACTATAAATAAATTAACAAAAGTTATTTTTGTCATGGTAAAACAAGATCAAATATTACAGTGACAAAAGAAAAGTTAGAAGAAACCATACTGGATAATCAAGAAATATGACTTTAATATGTTTAATATGAATAATCAAGAAATGAGTTTTTTTATAAAATAAAAAAAATTTGACTATATTAGTAATGGTCAATATTAAAATATACACAGTATATTTAATAAATCGTATTTTATATTTAAGAAAAAAATTAAAATATACTTATGTTAAGTTGATAAATTAAGTATAAATCCATTGCTACGTCAAAATATATAATAAATCTTATTATTTTATATTAAATTATATATTGAATTACTAGTGAGAACACATTGGTTATGTATATATGTATTTTAATTTTTTATGACAACTTAAAATAATAAAATTATAATTACAAAAACAAATATTAATAATTTTTTATTGTAGATAATTTTTATTTATTTTATAAATAATTTTTATTATAAATATTTATTTTAATTTTAGAGAAAAATCAAATTAAAAAAACGATTAAATTTAAAAAGAAATGGTCAAATAGAAAAATTCGCCTAAAAATTTAAAATTGGTAAATAATTATTTTAATTTAAAAAATTTATTTATTTTGAAGAGATTAAAATAGAAATGTGTATAGAGAAAAAGAATCACATACTATATATGTCCACATGACAGGAATGATTATAATTTGTGACGAGACATATGAACGAAATTATAGGGTCTGTCATAAAAAGAGTGAGAGACAAACTAAATATTTAACTCTCATAGGCTCAACCGACATAACTTCCAATAGACGATGTTCAAAGTGTGGCAATCTCAATTTCATTATGTAATTTTCATTAATTCTTTTTAATCTTTTACTCTTGTACAATGTTGTTTCTGTTAAATATAACTAAATATTATCATTCATGATTTTATCAATATCATTTATTACACATTAATTATATTTTAGGGTTCATTTTAATAATATACTTTCTTATTTACTTATAATAACTAATAAATAATATATCATTAATCTTTACATTTTCTATAATTATTATATTCAAATATAAGATTTTAAAAACTAAAAAAAATAACTTGAAATTGTTACAAGAGATAGTCCACCCAACCTTGTTACCCCTAGCTACAAGAAACGATAAACTTTTGTTCTAAAATTGTCTAAAGTGATGGAATTTTGTAACATGAAATATTGCAGAAACCTATTTAATGGAAGTAGAAGGAAAATGTAGACAAATTTATACTTTGTCTTTCCTGAACAGAGAAGCGTATGAATCCAATGCTGTTTTTTGTGTACATTGATGAAGTAGGAAGATTAAAACAACCTCACCCTGTACCAGTTGGGTCAAAGAATAAGGAAGTTACTGTTGCAGTAGTACTAGGAATTTAATGCAGACACCAAAAAAAGATAAAAGTAAACATAGAGTTGTAACACTGAAATACATTTGAGCCATGTAGTTGTAGATTTCAGATTCTAAAGGTGAAAGAAAGAGCAAATTGGGCTGGAGACAGATCAAGTACAAAAGCCACATGCAACCATCTTCTGAACTCTCAAGCTCTTTTTATAGTCATGTCATATATCTGCATCCACTTTTGAATTAACTTTAGAACAATCCTCACTCATTCATGGCCTCCACTGTGGAAATGCAGCCATCTTATAGTTCCAAGAAGCAAGACGATGATGATTCAGATTTCAATTTCACAGAATGGGGAGCAAAAGCTAGAATCAGCAGAGAGAACAGCAAATCCAGAAGGTACTCAGCATCATATATAAGAAGCTTTAGAGAAGACACAAGATCTTTTAGATCAAACATAACCATTTCTAGCACTGCTTCTTCACCCGGATACCCTTTCAAAGGTACATTTCTTGTTTACTCCTATTCAATCACTTCATGAAATATCTTGTTCATTTCTCCTCATTTTTTTCACAGATGAAATAGACCCTTCAACCTACTCTTTCACCACTGCTCTAAAAGGTACCAGAGAATCTGAATTCATGCTTATCAAATACAGGGTTTATAATATTAGTTGAATATTTTCAACCGATTGCATGGTGATCCACTGCAGCATTGCAAGCAAGATCGGCCTATAAAAGTTGGGAGTGCCTGTCACCAGAAGGTTTTGCCTTGAATTCAAAGTGGAATGAAGCAGAAAAATACATATGCAACCCCTTTTCTGGGGAGGTACCAATGGAGTGTTTATCTGCTAAAACTCTCAGTGGAAGATCATTCAGAAACTCAGCAACAAACAGAACCACCATGTCTGCTCCACTGGTCTATTCCTCAAGACACATGCAGACAAAGCCATCATCAACTTTCAACAATTGCATACAAGAAGAAGTAGCTCTTCAATTTCACATTTCAGGTTCACATACACTTCAATTAACCATCTTCTTCTCTTCTCTGTTGTTTCCTTTTGCAGTTTACTTCATGACACAGTTTTAACACAAAAAATTATACTTGCTATGTCTTTGTTCAGAAAAGGGAAAAGAGGGAATGACAAGAGATGCAGCTACTCAAAGTACACCTTATCTTAGTTCAACCAACCCCTTCACTGATATTACTCCATCCATCACAAAGTTATCTCACAACTCACTAAATTCAAATACCAAAACTGTTACTGAGAAACAGGTACGTGCTGCATTTTTTATAAGAAAAATGTTTTTTTAACAATAATCTCTCATTGATCCATTTTAAATATACATACTAATAAAATAATAACATAATTTATTATAAAAAAATTATTAAAAATAATTGTTAAAATATCGTAAACCTTTTTCTAACTCTTTACTTCTCTGAGAGTTGGTCGGAATCTCTCGTATATTTCAGTTTTTTGCATCGGATTCATTTTTCTTTGGCCCTTAAATCATGAAAGCCATTAATACTGTCCTTTTAATAAATGCCCTTGATTGGAAACAAAAATACCAACATTCAAAAGGTGAAAATTTTAAAATATATGGTAATGTTTCATGTCCTTGTTTATAGTAATCTTTTTTTTTAGTAGAATTGTTTCCTTTTTCTTACAAATCTTAAATCTTCGCTGTGAATTTCTAAAATGTTGGCTTAAACTGTGTATACTTTCGTCCTATAAATGCTATATATATAGTATTAGCTCATTTTCATGGACATAGACTTGAAGAAATGTGATAAGATAATATAAAATGTATATTTTTTCTTAACAAAGTTACATTAATCAGTTATAACATTTTCACAGCCTAAGTAAAAAGAATATTGCAAATAGTAAAAAAGTAAAAAATATTTGTACAATTTCAAGAATAATTAATGCGATCTAATAATTTTATTATTAAACATTTGAAGACTGTAATATTGTTAGTGTTGCAACTTTTGCTTCATTCTCAAATTAAGCCCATGAGTAAATATAAAGTAAATAATCATTGATAAGAAGTTAATCATATTCATATTTTATTTTATAATACTATTTATTTATTATCTCATACATCACTCGTTTTTCACTTTTGTTAAAATTAAAGCATCATGAAAAGAAAATACATCTTGTGGATGGAACCCAAGCATCTAAACAAAGACTAGATTCTCTAATAAATTTTTTTAACAGTGTTCTTTGCTGAACATATTATAAGTCTTTGTAATGTATTTAAAACATCAAAATCAATATCAATTTATATATTTTGAAGAACCCAGAATCGAAATTCATCTGAACCCTATGATAGATTTATTGCAACATTGATTAAAGGTGGAGTAGTTATGAGGAATTTGAAAAGTTAGAAATAAAAAAGGAAGAGAATAAATTAGGAAGGAGAAAGGTAGGCCAACAATGGTGGGATTTTGAAGATAAGAGAAGATTAGAATCTTCCAATGTGAAATGTGGGGGCAATATAGTACATAGAGATTGGTCCCTCTTTCTGCTTCATGACTACATGCCACTCAACTTTTGGTCCCTTCATACTTCTTTCCTCTCTCTATACCTAAACTTCTACTTCTCTCTTATTTAGAGAACCCTTTCTCTTAAAACTATTAATATATTTATACAATGTCAAAATTTATTTATCAATATTATAAAAATATTTCTTCTCGTATCAAATTTATTAATATAATTGGATGACCCTAATAATTTTAGGATAAGATGAGAATATAATGATAAATGAATTATATATATATATAAGTGTTAAATAATTCTTCTTTTCTTAACCATTATAAACTTTTTTATTTCTTCATAAATTGATAAGTTGATAAGATATTCTAAAATTAATTAACTCTTCAATCCACCCACTTTTCCTTCTTCCATGATTTAAAATACTTGGGTAGTTATTTTCTTTTTGGATGATTTAATTGAAGAAACACACATAAAGAAGAGTAAAAAATTAAATAGAATGAAAGAAAACATTATTTGGTGGAAGAAAAATAGATAAAAAAATTGAGCGGAATAAAAGTTATTTAGTTAAATAAAAATGGAGATTATTTTATTATAAATAAAGGATAATTTAAATAAAACTTAATTTTTAAAATTGCATCATGTTTATTGATATTAAATTTTTAATATTCATTTATAATATTTTTTAATGATTCATATATTTATTTATTATTAACATTAAAAAAAATTATTAGAACTAGTAGAAAAGTAAAACATGGAGAGATTCAAAGGCATGTTAGCATATCAATTTGTGGTTTCAATATTGTCTTCCATGTTTTCCTTTTTGAAAACAAGGTTTTTTTAATATATTTCCAACCCTTTCTATTTTTTACCATTGTAATACATGTTATTATTCAAGTGCACATGAAAAAATGGAAAGGAAAATATAAACTTCGAAACAAGTCTATATATATTAGTCTTACTTGTGTGTGTTCTCTACCATTAACATGTTATTAATCATGCATTTAATCACATATATAACTATATTTACTAAGTGTTTTTTGTAAAAAATATATTAAAAATAGCATTAATAATGATTTTCTTAATTGCACGATGGTATTAAACTTTCTATACTTACAAATTCATAGTCCAAATTTTCTCGTTTTTCTTAAGTATATTAGAGAATTTAGAATCGAAGTAAATAATTTTGTAATGAATAACTAATTAAAAAGAATGCCACACCACTAAGCATGTAAGAAGGACTACAGTTAATAACCGAAAGTTAATTAGGAAAAACTAAATTCTGATAAATTAGAAAAAATATTTATATAATTTTTAAAACTTCTTTACATTATAGAAAATTATTCTAATGTCACACATTAAAAATGGTATTAGAAAGATCTTTTATCAACTGTGTCAAAATCTAAGAGATAGTGGGGCTCTTACCATAGTAACAAAATATTTTACTATATTATAAAGCCATAAATGGCATTTAATATACGGATTTTTCTTTTTTTATTAATTAATAAGCAGAGAAATATATATATATATATATATATATATATATATTCTTAATTTAAATCTCTTTTGTTTCTTACTTCTTTTTCTCTTGTATAGTGTAAAACAGGGATTTTGAGTTTGATTGGGGAACTAAATGTACTTCATTTTCTTACCTCTTTCGATTTTTTTTATCTCTTTTAAATGCATGGGGATTAGGTGGACCCAAAAAGTAAATATGAAGAATTCAACTTCCAAAAAATGTTGTATTGGTTGTTTAAGATCTAATAATTATTAAATATGAAGTGAGTCAAACTCAATCGACCAATAGGTGGATAAAATGGATATAAGTGTATCAAATAATCCCTTTTTGACAATTATAGCACACATAACATATTTTATATAATATATTCATTTGTTCCAATATTTACTATAATTATTTTTAGAAAAAAAAAATACATAAAATAATTTCTCATACACAACTAATCTTTTTGTGTAAATTTATTTAAATCGTTAGTCATTCTTAAGATTATTATATTTAAAATGTTATCTTGATTGTGGTTCGAATATGACTTAAAAGACATTCTTATGTAATTAAAGGAAATATATAGATAATATTTTTCAGTCTGAAATATTATGCCATATCTTGTTTTTGGATGTATAGAAATATCACAGCATTTGAGATATTATATATTTGGAGTTTGATTCAATTTTGTCCCAACTTTATCTTTATAAAGTCTTTTAATTAATTAAGGAATAATATATATATATATATACACTGACATCTCAATCTTAAACTATGTGAGAATTTAAAGAAAAATTAAAAAAAAAATATTGAATGAAATAAAATAAGAAGAAAAACGAGTATACTTTAATTAAAATATAAAGTAAATATGTAAATTAAAGAGAAAAACTAATTTTATGTACAGTTCAGGTAGAGAGTACTTTTGTGAGATAAGTTCCAAATTGGTAGGGTAGTATGTACCTTAATTAAGGATAATGTATGTGGTGGTTCCCAAAGTGTCCTTCTCTGAAGTACGTTGGCCATACTTTGTATAACTTTTCTGCTCACCATTTCTGCCATCTAAAACATTTTATACAGCTTTTCCAACTTTTCATCATAAACAAATTATCACCACGAAATTACATTACAATAATTTGAAATTTTGCTAACTCTTCTACCTATCATTTTCCCTTTATAGTTTTCCACTAATTTGAAATATATTATATTGACATTCTTATGCATCCATAATAGTAAAAATATATTGACATATATTAAAAATATAATGGTGTGGGTTGTAGATTTGAAAATAAAAAGAAAAACGAATTTTTTCCGTACATAAATTTTTTACTTTCATTTGGTATTACTCTTACTTACCTTTTATTTTTTTTTAAAAGAAAATATAAAAATTTACAATTTTATGATCATTTTATTCTTGTGTTTTGTGTGAAATGAATGTAAAAGTGTGTCATGATACCGTTACTCAGATAAAAATGATTGATGAAATATTGAAAGGTATAAAGATAGAAACATTGAAAATGACGTGAGATGCAAATGCACGTGGATGCAGATGGAAGAGAAGAAGGATAAAGAGGAAAAATGGGACACTGTGAGAGAAGTGAATGAGAATGTGAAGAAAGATGAAGAAGACAAAGTTTGCCAGCAAGGTCGAGGGTGCTTTTCATGGTTAAGGAAGAAAACTCAGAGAGAGAAAGAGAGCCAAACAAAGGATAACATCTTTTTCACTCACTTCAAACTTTGCTAGAGAAAAAAAAAAGATAAACTATTACTACAGTTATATAATGGAGAGAGATAGATCGATTCATGGTGTTGTTCTTTTCCAAATTTCTCTCTCATTTAATCTCTTCATCAATTTTGCAGCCTTTTATTAAATATGACACAAGTTTAGGGAATTTAAAGTTAAAATATATTTCAAAACCTTGAAAGAAAAATCTCGTTATAGAATTGTTAATCTTTCTTAAAAAAAAGAAAACCCATATTTTTTTTTCAAGTATGTCTGAAGGGAAAACAATTAAAAAGTTCTTTTGAATTCAAAATCGTGTTTCAAATAGACCTGTACAACTTTTGCATATGGATATGTTCAAACTTTACAAGAATTTTGAATATGAAGGAAAAAAAATATGGTATATTCAACTATTATATATATATATATATATATATATATATATATATA